TCTTTAAAATACCAAAGGTTTTAAAGTAATCAAGCAAGCATAGAGGCATAGCCATCACTTAAATTTACATGATATAAATCTTTACTGCAATGAAGCGTTTTTAAATTAGTGGTATGATAGGATGCCTTTGACTTTATCTGTTACGTTCAAGTAGCATCTCTAGGCACCAACTCACGCTTTGCTTGACCTGAAGCTAGATATTAACAAGTTACCTTGAGCAACCTGGGTTTGAACTTGCTAAAGAGTCGGGGACTGGCTATGCACTCATCCTGTGGCTTACACTGGATAACACTGTGCCCATAATAACTAGAAGAAAGCCACAAACACCTTTTCATCCAATAGGGAAAAAAAGAAAAAACTTCCCCACAAAAAGACAGGAAAGTGAGGAACTGTACTCTGCTTTTTCTTTGCTCCAGGACACAAAAAGATAAGCTTATCAGATGATAGATGAACATTTTATTACATTCAATCAACACTTCCTTTTAAACATTGAAGAACTTTGGTCCTTGTTAAGTTATAACACAATCTACTACAGCTAGATTCATTCTAGTGCTCAATCTCTGAGGCACTCCTATTTTCTGGCATACATAGAAGTGATTCCAGAATAACTGTCCTGAAGAATTGCAGCACTTTATTGTTTTCAAAGTGATATAGTACAAGTTGTACACTTCGTATAGTTAATCTTCAGAACAACTGTATGTAAAGTTTTTATCTTAAGCCCCACCAGTAAAATGAGTTTAATAATAACCAGCCACCAAAAGCCAACAGAAAAACGTTAAGTTTTGAAAAAACACTTGCAAGGAAGAATTACTTTCCAATTCAAGCTTTTAGTAAGTTTTTCAGGAGGCACGTCATTTTTTTAAGGCTTGAAGACGCAGATGTTTCTATAACTATGACCTTCATCTTTCACTTCAGCACTGAATTAAAACCTACAAACCAAAACAGAAATGTTGTGCCCATAAGTAATGCCTCTCTACTCTTACAGTACATACGACTCACCACTCATAAAGTACACTCTTACAGTGCATCCTCCCCTAAAGAGAATGCTGCCCTAAGCACAAGATAACTTATCTTTTCTGATAAGCATTTCCTCTTTTTTTTTTTTTTTTTTTTTTTCCTGAAAATGACTTATCAAAAGAAGAAAAACCAGGAATCCCACTGCAATCTTTAAACACATCCACATGCAAATATATTGGCTAGCCTTCAGAGAAATTCTGAAACGGGGACAGCTTGATGAATACCCAAGGAGCTCTGTACATTTCACATATTCCCCTTCCTCTCCTCACTGATGACGAAAAACGGCTGGATAAGATCATTACTAGTGTGGTCTTCAGACTGTCAACAAGAAAGCAACATCTCTGCAGGTCAGTGTCCAGTGACTACTACATAAGCATTAAGACATTTTTTTGGTCACAACAAATCACCTACTTTGCAGAAGAAATACTACACAAAGAATGCAGCTAGAAGTGGTAGAATTGCCTGTCAGATGCTTTGACTATTTCAGACACTACAGGAAAGATGCAAGAGGCCTAACAAAGACAGAAATTTTTGAATAAAGTACTTGAGCTACAGCTTTGCCAGCAAAAAATTAAATTAATAACTCAAAAGAGGCAGAAAAGCTGAATCGTCATAAACAGATTTAATAGGAGACTGAAAGAAGGAAGCCATTTGGGTTTGAACTGTTCTAATATTGATGGAAAAAACACACAGTATCATTGTATAATCTATAAATCAGTTATTCTCACTATATATATATATATATATATATTTTTTTTTTTTTTTAAATCAAGCTGGTTAGCAATATATAAAAACACGATCTTCGTGATCTTCCCAAAATAGAAAGTCACATTAGCTTTCAAAATCCACGCTCCTCTTTCCTTGGTAAGCAGGAAAAATGGCTGCCAAGTCTAGTAGTTCATCTCTCAAGATGCAGTTACACAAAGATATGTGGGAAAGCACTACCAAATTGGATAGACTAAACAATTTAACTTGCTATTAACACAAAATTTAGTACAGATTGATTCGTTTCAAGCACAGAGCTTGTTACAATGGGAAGTGTGAATATCTATACAGATAAAAGAAGTTACCAGAAACACAAGTTTTATTTTAAGCAGTTTCAAGACCTTGTAACCTACTCCAAGATCTAAGTTGAAAGTGCTCCAGCGTCTTCCACTCTTCGATTGCTCAGCTTTACTGGGGTCAGACACCCTTAAACTGAAATAAAGAAGCATTGCCAGAGTAGGTCAAGTACTCAACATGGAATAATCCTCTGTCAGCAAAAGATATTTAACCAGCTGAGTTACTAAGCAAAGAACCAAACCTCCTTAGACTCACTTTTACACTTTAAAAACCTATTGTATTTAACCAGCTCATCTCCTTTATGCCTCATTGCTCAGTAATCACAGTCTGAAATGCAAGTTCAACTATTATTTTTTACATCTAATACATTTACTACAACCTTGAAACACTTGAACAAGCTCTTTTAGATACCTGAAGTTTCCTTATAACTGATTATTGCCTCAAAATCCTTGCAGGAATTCTAGACTCAGCCTCTTACACCCAATATATGACCACGGACAATGGTGTTTGGTTTTGCTTAGGGGCTTACCAAATGAAGGAAAGCATATATTTAAACAGTGACTTTTAATTACACAACTGCCTAAGAATTCTGGTCACGCCTAAAGCAAAGAACTCTATTAAAATGTCCACTGCATTCTTAGCCTCACACAAGTGTCTTTGTACTACCCAAGCAAAACCACCACGCAGATGAACGAAAGTAAGTTTAACTAAATGCTGAGTATCCAGCATTAAACCTATCATCCATGTGAACCTAGCTGCAAAGTTAAGAAGTCGACTTCCCAAAACTCCTTGTTTTTGGCAAGCCTCAGATAACTGTTACAGTCACTGTGCAGCATTCTTCAAATTCATCTCAAGAACCTCTTTCCCTTCTCATTCAAGCAAAAGCACCTTTGATAAAATCTAATAATATCTGAAGTTGTTCACTTTAAAACGCCCTTTTCTTTCCCCAATATAGTTAAATTTTCTCTTCATCTCAAAATCTTAATCTAACTCTCCTAAATTCTCTCTAGACTTCTCTACTACTCTTGAACTTTTCTTTATTTGCCTCACAGAAGGCAACAACCTCTACAGCTGTGGTATTCCTGGGGTTGACCTTCTCCACCTTCACTAAGTAATCTCAGCCACCCGGACTCACCTATGGTGGCATGAATCTTTCTGCCCAACGCTTTCTAAATCTTATGAAAGGGTCAGCCAGCTCCGAATTCGCTGGAAGTCACTAGAACAGAACTCAGGCATTTATTATTTGCAAGTTGTAAATCACAATTGTTAACAGCGCTTTTATTTCCATACACACAAAAATATTGAGCTCTAAGTACACCAAGACAGCTGTACCAATGATGTGGAACACATTCCAGTAGCTCCCTTACACTATCACAGAATAATGTCCCATAGTCGTATCTCTTTGACGTTAAGATCCCTGAAGCAATGTAATTTACTCTTCATCCAGAACAAGTTAATCAAAATAATAGCAATTATGCTCCTATAGTGAATACTAATAGTGCAGAACAATGTTATTAACCCATTGAACAGCAAGTATTAAGTTCACCACACCCATGGTTTCTACAGTAGAAGTGGCTACCCTCAGGTCAATATGCACCTTCATATAACTACGTTTCTGTTGCTCTTCAATGGGAACCTGCTCCAGAAATTACATAAAAATCAATGTCAAGTAAATGCACGACAAGCAGCTAAATCAGTATTTTTCAGAAACAATGATTTCTTCCTGAACTCAAATACAAGAAAAACACAGTATGGAAGCCAACACTTCTGGGAAAACCCACTTCTGTCAGTGAGCTGCTTGTTGCATCCCCTCACTAAGGGCTAAATGCTCTGTTTGTAACATTTGGCTTTACGTCTATAACATCCCAGTCCCCTCAAAGCAGCCAAACTCAGCTCAAGCCACAAATAGTCTGTTAGAGTAACTCAGACCGTTCCTTTTATCTCACATGGCTGTCTGAGAAAACGTTGAGAGCAAGCCACCAGCTGAATGGGTTTTCCACACAGGAGCAATGAGTCACACCTGCTGCTTGTCCTGCCAGCTTCTTGGCTGCCTCCATATAGCCACATATCACACCAGTGCCTGGCACTGCTCTATGGAGAGTGGTGGGTTGTTCGTAACCTAAGCCATGAGATGCTCTTACAGAACAGCAAGGCAACGTGCACACAGCAAATTAGCATCAGAAAATGGGGACATCACACAGAATCACAGAATGGCCAGGGTTGGAAGGGACCTCACAGACCATGAATCTCCAATCCCCCTGCCACATGCAGGGCCACCAAACTCCCCATTTAATACTATACCAGGCTGCCCAGGACCCCATCCAATCTGGCCTTGAACACCTCCAGGGATGGGGCATCACAACATACATGCAAGTCCATTCCTCCAGAAAGTGAACCTGACAGCAATAAGTTATTTGAAATCATACCTACGTACTGTAACTATAGCATTTAATCCACCAGATAAATAAATCCAAGAGCTGGTGAGCGAATTTATTGCTCGGTAATTCTACTGTTTGTCTTCCGTTGGTCTCACGTGAAAAGAGATGCCTTGCTTACAGAAAGAGCATAAGATATACTTCCATCCACTCACCTCCAATAAATTCAAGACAGCCCAACCTACAAGAGCATTTTAGTAGCACCCACGAGGCCTCACATATCCGCGAGCCCAGGAGCACAGAAAGCCTGCACACAACCTCCCCTCTTTATGAGCTGCTCTTTTCATCACCAAGCTTCTCCTCCAGCTCCGAGGAGGACAGCGAGCGGCTCCCCACGCTAACACACCGCTCAATCCCAGAAGCCAAGGACCGCTCTCCCCGGACTTCCACGGCGCCTCCCGGCCCCACCGGGCCCGCAGCCCACTCCCGGCCGCCCGCCCCGTCCCGCTGAGGCCGGCTCCCCGCGGGGCCCCCGCCCGCACCCACCGCTTCTTGGGGATGGAGCCGGCGACCGGCCCGGCGGAGCCGCCCCGCGCCTTGCAGGGGCTCGGGGAGAGCGCCTCCCTCCCCGCAGCACGCGGCGAGCCCCGCAGGTGCCCGGAGATGATGCGCAGCCGCCGCCGGGCGGAGGCCGGGGACCCACCGCCGCTTCCCGCCGCCTCCTCCGCCGCCGCCGCCATGGCACTTCCGTGTTGTGCCGCGGAGCGCTGCCGGGTGAGGGGTCAGGCGGGCGGAAGGCGCGGCCCCGCGCTGCCCGAGCCCTGCCCGGGGCCTGCCCTGCGGGCGGCCGGCGGCAGACAGCGGGCCCTTCCCGGCGGTAGCCGTCGCCGCTGGGGGCTGTGAGCAGCCGGGAAAGCACGGGCCTCACGGGAGACGTTTCGTCGTTTGGGCTTTGATTGTCGAGAGCCTATCTGAGAGAGAGATGCTTCTATAAAGCTGAGGGTTGCCTAAGTTAATTATGAAACGCTCATTAATGGCATTAGCGTGGGTGACACATTTAAGAAATAGGTTGGTGAGGTGACACAGTGGCTTACAGGTGTTACAGATGTTATCATGAGTGTTGATAAGTGCAGCGGTGTCCTAATGTGAGAGCAGAGGCTGCTGCTGCTCCAGGCACTTTTGCTGAAATACAGAGGTAACCTGTACTGTAGTACTGATCACATTTACCTGCAGTGAATGAATACAACAGTAGTAATGAGCCTGCAGGTCTCAGTGCTGTGGCAGATTTGTGGTTCAAAAAAATCCATCCAACAGAGCCGTTCTATGTGTGAGCACCTGAGCACCTCAGACCCCACAAACACACCCAGCACCAACTTGCTGGCCCCGTGCACACAACCCTTAATAATACCAACGTGCCTTGCTTACGTCCAAGCTTGACACAACTCTACCTCCCACTCATGCCTCTGTTTCAGGCTCTCTGACAATACTCACACCTCTGACACCTGCTCAGAGATCTTCAAATATGTAAAAGACTGCTATTGAAGTAAAAGGCAGCAATCAATCTGCTCTTCCTGTCCGTGCTGTCAGCGAGAAATAATGAGCACAAATTTCAAGATGCAACTTCAGTATTTATACCAGGCTACTTTTCAGCGGCAGTGAAAATGAGAAACTGTTGTTTGCCTAAGAACAGAATGAAGTCACCTCCGTTATCTTCAAGAACAGACTGCACACCATCTATCAGTCAAACTAGTTCTGCTCAGAGCTAGATGATCATATAGACGACCTCCTCAGATAAATTCCAACATTTCTCTATAAGCTGAATTGCCTCACACAGATTAAGTCCAGTCTGTTATCAGGCAGAACCTACTTTGTGATTACCTTTTGCAGTTTGATGGCACCAGCCAGCTTTATGGAAATCTTGAAGAGGAGTGCAGGTATCTATGTGATTATTAACACTTTCATAATGATATTTTACCTATCACTGCTAATTTCTATGTCCATTCCATCCTCATTCACCCTATGCTTATTCTGTCTTACATATAAAAGGAAATTACATGAAAATTCATAAAACTCTTGCCTCATCCTCTTTCAAATCCCTTTCAAGGACCTATTTCTCCCATGATACTTCAGTGTGATACCTTCCCATTAGTTAAGCAACTAGCAGAAACTTCTCTAGGGAGCACCAACTAGCAGGAAGTTCTCCAGGGAGCAGTATGTGGAGGACAAGCAGGGAGACTTTGGTTCAATTCCCTACTTCACATGTAATACCGATGCCTCTTTGAGTGATAGCTCCTCATATAGAAGCAGGGATAACAGGATCTCCCTGCAGAGACTGGTTGGAAGAGAAATACCCTGAGAACTGTATGACAATATTGGATCAAACATTTCAAGACTACTGGTTGAAAGCAGTGCATAAAAGCCAGGTATTACTGCTGTCTGTTTTGCTTTGATCCTCACCATGATTAATCTGATGCCCTGAATGTACTTTGACTACAAAATACTCTACAATTTTCCTGGGTTTGGTTGTTGAGTTAAATTCCATCTTCCCCCCCCCCGCCCCCGGTCAAGTAATTTATATGCTACTTTCTGGATTAACTCATGTAATATCTGCATTCAACTATCTGCTGCTGGGGAGGCAGTCTTTAGGGAACAAACACAGATCTTTTGACAGAGTTCTCCATTCACACTGTTTACTGAAGTACTGGATATAGTTGGAAGGTTTTTAAGTCACTGTTATCTAAACCATTCCACACGGCTGAAGGTTTGGAGAGAGATAACAGGTTCATTGTAGGCTTCAGATTTTGCCAGAATGTTTCTCTGCACTATACTTACTAGTAAGGAACAGTAATTTGTAATGGGCTCATTTATTTGATTCTAAGGGTCCAAGTTAAAAATAGAATCTAACTAATATCTGATGAGCAACATTTATGACTACCTCAGAACTTAACTGTTTAAAAAGTTCCCAATTACTTTTCAAGAGTGTGCATCTAAAGATTTAACTGGGGGTGGTAGAGCATGGTGGTACTTAAATGAGTGTGAACCTTTATCTTACAGGGAATGGAAGTGCTGCTTATGGAAACCTCAGTCCTTTCTGTGGCAGCACTCTGAATGTGTTCCTCAGCTCCTTTGGAAGGATGGCAATATTCATGAATGGGAGTAGGAACATTATGGACTGGCAGATTGTGAAGTTGATGTTTCTCATCATTTGCCTGACACTGTGAACCACTGACATTTTTTTTTTAAATGTCTAATCAATTCACATAAAATCTAACTGATAAATAGAAGGGTTAAAAAGAAAATTTAGCAAACACAACTATTTTGAAAGTAATGTAATTGCGACAAGAAAGGGAAGTACAATTTCAGCAGAAATTCCAGCAGATCTACAAAGTGGTAGTTTAAAGCAGGCTAACAGTTGCCAAGCCAAAGCAGCAGCATTTGCTTGAGATCACAAAGTCATAGAATGGTTTGGGTTGGAAGGGACCTTTAAGATCTCCTAGTTCCAACTCCTGGCTATAGGCAGTGACACCTCCCTCTAGACCAGGTTGTTCAAAACCCATCCAGTCTAGCCCTGAATGCTTCCAGGGAGGGGGCATTCACAGCCTCAGTGGGCAAACTGTTCCAATGTCTTACTCCCCTCACAGTAAAGAAGTTCTTCCTAATATCTAGTCTAAATCTATTCTCTTCCAGTTTAAAGCCATTTCTCCTTGTCCTGTCGCTACATGGCTGTATAAAAAGTAAGAGACGTAAGTATTAGATAAGGAAAGCTAATTGAGCTAATTGATAGGATACACATCTAACCTCAAGTGAGATGCTGAAACAGCAGCTGCACACACATCTTGAAGAGAAGGCAGAGGACTATATTGAACCAAAAATGCAAAAGGAATTTTGAAAAATTTCAAATAAATTATTGAAATCCCTGAAAGTTCCTGGCCTCTTGAAACTAACAGGAACTGCTATTGCCATAGTAGAAACCTGTGTGTTTCTTTGTGGACTAGATAGCAGACTAGATTTATTAGTCTTAATTCATCTCACTGCTTCTGAGCACAATAACATTATCGTAATAGTAAGCAGTGAGAAAATCAAAATCCTCTGCTTTATACAAGGACAGGAAAAGTTGGCTTTCGATAAAAATATTTTTTTCTTACACTGGTAAAAAAAAAAAAAAATCAGAGGCAGAAGAGTTAAGTAAAATATGCTGAGCTTTAACTCTAAATTGCCAAGATTTTAGCAGATGATGTGCAAAAAGCATGGAGCAACAAAAACATTGAGTCCTTTGGTAGGACTCAATTCAGTTCCAAAATGGCTGAAAAAAGTGATGCAGATATATTTTCAGGTATTATCTATTGTATTCTGTATAACAATAACCTGCAATCTCCTGCACCTTACACTGAACTGTTCTTCCCAAAATAAAGTTTTTTTACATGTTAGGTGTTATATATTCTCTCAGTAGCAGTAACTATGGCAAGCAGACAGTGTAACTTCCAACAGAAACAGAAAAATAGTTCAGTTTACAAATGGGCAAACTTTAATTCTAAGAACTTGAACAACTAAGAGAAATGTTATAATGTTGATAATGTTTATTATAGTGTAACTTCCTCACACAAGAAAATGGTTATGTGAGTACAAGGAATGTCACCAGGGCCCAGGAGGCGCTAGCTCACCTCACTGGCCCTGATCAGTCTCACCTTACTGTAGCAATTTTAGGAAAATCTCTGAACTGAAAATGGTTAGAGAATGGCAGAATATTAGGGGGAAATATCACATATGCTTTATTGGTTCTGATTCTTCCAGATGTCTGTTTGAGATTCACTTGAGCTCATGATTGTAGCCTGCACCACAGACAGAACACTGCAGGATGGATGTTGGTCTGAAGCAGCACGGGGATTCTTTGGTCTTTAATCCTGACAGAGATTTTTTAATGTTAGCTTAAACAATTCATGCGTTAGTAAAAGACTTTTTTTTATCCTAGATACACTACCTGAAAAACACCATTGTGAAACAGCTTCCAAAGGAGCACAGCTACCTTTTACTGTAATTTGGGAAAACTATATCTTAATTAAAATGTATTTCCTCAGCAAAAGGAAAGGATTTCTTTAAAACAGATAAGCAGAATATGAGCAGGGTAAAAGAACTATTTTTTTTTCAAGAGTCTTCCTTTCATTGAACTACTTGCAAAGTTAAAACAGAAGGAAATGCTGCTTGAATGAGGTGTATTTCAGATCTTGCTTCCTTGAGGTCCAATTCAGATGTGATTGACACTAATGTACTATGAACACCTTTTTGTTCTGCACTTCTGTAACCCTGCAGAAAAAGCCACCACCTACAGAAGAGGTGGGGTTTTGGCTCTCTTAAGAACAGGATGGGTGTGGGACATCCACAGCTGAATCATGAGCTCAGAAGAAACTTATGGGGCAACAGATGGGCAAAAAGGACATAAGCCCTCAAGCTCACCTAGGTATTACTCACTTTGATCACCAGTGTGGAAAGCTTACACCCTTTGATGAATCCATCATTCAACACCAACTAATTGATTCACTGGGAGGAGTTCCGTTATTATTTGAATAGATCAGTAAGTTTTCCTGAAACAATTTCTTCTACTTAGCCTTTGTGTCATTTTTATAGAGTAAGCAGAGACCCTGAGGGAAAGGCAACGCATCCATCCATCCATCAACTACCAGCTTATGGCAATAGGAGACTTAAGATACAGGATTCAATACTACAGTCTGAGAAAGGCCCAGGT